CCTTCTTCATATTAAGGGTTTTGACTACACTGTAGAGTGCCTCGACACACGCGCCCCCGTCCAGGGATCATTCTTTGAAAGGGTTGAAGCCCCCTTGGTGTGGGCGTCCACCATGTTTTGGTCCACGCCGCACTTGTTTAAACGTGTAGGCGGCACCTGCTGCTTTGTCGCCCGTCTGATTCAATAAGTCGCTTAAGACGACTGAATGCTGTGTGCCACACAGAGCACAAACTATTCTAAAAATGGAGGGAACGTGTTTTCTTTTCCAAGCGATCCTAAAAGAAAAAGTTTATGGACAGCGGGAATTAATAGTTGGAAGTGGCTGCCATCGAATGCCACTCGTGTATGCAGAGTGAAAATGCAAGCTTTGTTGCTGTTTGCTATCACCTTTCCGTTGCTACGTCGAGTATTTGGGGGACGATTTCCCTAACGGCGTACATATTACTGGTAAAACAGTCACAGATTAGACTATTACAAGTTATCTGCGTTGCTTACTTATTGTGTTTGTGCGCGTGCTTGTTGCACCGTAACACGATTGAATGTTGAGTGAACTGGTAATCCTATAATAATTCATAAAGTTTTAAGTGTTTTCATATTTTGTTGCTTTTTTCGGGTGTGCTTGGAAATAGTACTTCCGCTGTCGCAGACATCTCCTTTTATTTTATTCAATGCACAAAGTTGTTATTATAAAATTGTCGCATCTATATTTACCTGCAACCAATCACTCAGAGTTGTGTTTTCGTGTGGAGCTAGAACAACAAATGGATAATTGGGTGTTCATGCTCACATTGCTCACATGCTCACATGCTCACTTGCACGCCAATTAACTGCCACATGCCGTATACATCCTCTTATTGATATATATATATATATATATATATATATATATATATATATAATATACACCAATTCCTTTCGCATTTTACATGCTAATGCGTTCAGCGATTAGGGGTTTCATTGTAGTCAAAATAGGCAACATAATTTTTAATGGATGTTGTCTTTTAATCAATTCCATGGCATCAACCGAGAGAAGGCGAAGGAAATCCAGCGCACTTAACGTATAGACTTTTCCCATGGGGTTTCGCCCACCCGCGGGGGTTCAAATACTGCTTTAAAATGACATATTGCATCATTAAGGCCATACACTTGCGTGCCTACAGCTGCACAAAACCTAATTTACATATGCCTAGTTATCTTTAAGCTAACTTAAAACGGTCTTGAATATCATTGGTGCATATGCACCTGTTGGCTAATGGCAGAGTCAGCAGGTATAAAATCCGAAGCTAGGTGAGTGAGCCCACAGATAGGAACGGGTCGAAAATATCGTTCTACGATTTATTCCATTTTAGTTTATTACCACTACATATCTAATTCAACAACCCATCTGCACACACTGTCTTCACATTTAGGGGTGAAGCCCCTTAGTGTCTTGGCCCGCCGGGTTGGTCTAGTGCCTAAGGTACTCGGTTACTGACCCGCAGGTCGCGGGCTAGAATCGCGCCTGCGGCGGCTGCATTTCCGATGGAGGCAGAAATGTTGTAGGCCCGTGTGCTCAGATATGGGTGCCCGTTAAAGAACCCCGGGTGGTCAAAAATTCCGGAGTCCTCCACTACGGCGTCTCTGATAATCATATGGTGGTTTTGGGACGTTAAACCCCACATATAAATCAATCTCCTAAGTGTCTAGGGCAGTCCCCCGTTCCTCTTTCATAGCCAGGACAGCATATGCACAGACACACAGGAAGACGGACAGACAGATGGACGGACGGACGCATGCACTGATGGATGGACGCAGGGAGAGACGAACAGGTGGACGCACGGACGCATTCACGGACGGACACACGCACGCACGGACGGATGGACACATGCCCTGGCAGACGGAGGCACGCACAGACGGATTGATGGATGGACGGCTGGACGGATAGACGGACGGAAGGATGGATGGACGCATGGACGGACGCTTCACCCCACTTATCATTATTCCCCCCGTGGATATGCTGAGATTTTTTTCGTGTGTTTCACTAATCCATTTGCTTTACTCGATGTGTTACACGCTCATCTTAAGAAAGACAGCAACATTTATAGTGCACGTCTAAGTACTGTGTGTCGAAGCTGGAATAACATCAGACCTACAGAAAAGCATATATCCTGTGCCTTAATGGTAGGTATATTATTTTACTGCTTTTCATTTCGATAGTTCACAGAATCATACTTTTCCATTACTGTTTTCTAATACACATGGTTCCGCCCCGCCATGGGGGTCTAGTGGCTAAGGTACTCAGCCGCTGACCCGCAGGTCACGGGATTGAATCCCGGCTGCAGCGGCTGTATTTCTGATGGAGGCGTAAAGGTTATAGGCCCGTGTGCTCAGATTTCGGTGCACGGCAAAGAACCCCAGGTGGTCGAAATTTCCGGTGCCCTCCACTATGACGTCTCTGATAATCATACGGTGGTTTTGGGACGTTAAACCCCACATATCAATCAATCAATCTTGGTCACTGATGTATTGATGTCACCAGGTTTCTGTTACAATTATGATGTGCACATTATGCGCTGTGATAATACTTTCTAAGTCAGCTAATTTCTTGAGAATGCTACGAGCATTTGTGTTTAGGCAGCAAATGCTTTTTTGTAACCCCCCCCCCTTTCATTATTCGCGCCTGAGCCTAATCACGCTTTGAACATTAGAAGCTTAGAAAGACTTCTTATCGGTAAGGATAAGAACCCTTTGATTATTGCTACAACTTTTATCGAAACAGGGTGCCATCGATGTTTATCTTCTCATATATCATTTTAACTTTCTTTCCTTCGCAGCACTATTTCACAACTGCTTGCGCAGTGTTCCAGTGGCAGTAGAGAAATCTTCACTGATTGAAACATTGTGGCCTTTAAGCTTGTAGCGATTTCTTAAAACATTTGTATTTTCACGGCAGTCAATGAACTTTAGGATAAGCGGCCATGACCTGTTTGCTTGCGTGAGTCGTAGTCTGTAGATTCACTAAACAGATGTTACTTTGACACTGAGTTTTTTCTTTTGCAAACAAATCATCAACCAGACTAGCGAAAAGTGACTGTGGCGTTTCGCTCGCTTCCTCTGGAAGACCAAATACAAGCAGAATATTACGACGGCTTTTGCCTTCTAGGTCAACGATTTTTATTTCCATGTTACGGATAGTTTTTTCGAGGCCCGTGATTTTGGTACCGAATTCTTTAAGCGTTGATTTAGATGCTTCAGCTTGTTGCAATTTGGATTCAATTATGTCCAGCCTATTTTGCATCCGCTTTTGGCCCTCCAGAAGCTGCTGAAGCAGCTCATTGGTGTTGAGTCTAGGATTTTATTCAATATCCCCACAAAGCATCAGCAGAGGGAAAAGAACGTCCTTTGTATGCGAACAAAACACACAGATACTCTAGGGGCACGCCAGCTGCAGCAAGAACGGTCATCAGACCTTATAGAAGCACATTTCTTACTAACCTACATAAAAAGCAGAACCTACCTAAAAAAACAGCATAAACCTGCGGGTCAGGAGACGTGGGGCAGGGAGTGAAATAAGCATGAATAGTCTAGGTTGGCACCCCGGGCTTCACTTATGCCTTCGGAACGCCTCGCAGCTTTGCGAGGAAATATTGAACGCTTCTTCATCCTCGGTCCTCAAAAACGTTCCTGGATCTTATATAATGTAGCCCGCTGGCCTACGTGTCCGCCGTCGGGAGCATCTTGAATGGCTTGCCGGATATAGGAACGCATGGCCGATGGAATCCCTAAAACGTACCAACCCGCCAAAATGCTTCATCCCTAAAGGGTGGTGTTTTTTTTTTGCTTACTGGTCCAATGACATCAATAAAATATTATTTCGCGGACGACGAACTTTTAATTAGTCTACGGGTCTTCGAGGTACGTTATCAGTGCTGCCAAACTCTAATCGCATCACTGATAGTTTGAAACTTTCTGCTGCGAAATCCAAATCCAGCCTTCTGTGGTGTATACAGTGAGCTTTCCTCGCATCGATTCAGCGACAGTGCGTCGGCAACCTGGTTTGACACTCCTGCTCGGTGCGTCAAATTGTTGGCGTAGTCTTGCAGTCGGATTATCCAGTGGGCGAACTTGTGAATCAGGTGTTGGCAAATATCCACGCAATTGTGTTCTCGTCCATCACCACCGTAAGACGTGCGGCCTAACAAGTATACGTAGCAGGCAATAAAGAGTATAAGCTCGCAATGACCAGTTGGCTCTCAAAACATTCATTATTTCGGTGTCAATCATTATTATGTTGGTGCAGTCATATAAAAGATTTGTCACAGGCTTAGTTATGCAATTACTTAAGCTAATATGATCCTAGGACTCCGTTCATGTTGTGCGAGTCAGCCTTCATGCGTTCCACTTTGACGAATTACATTAAAAAACGACAGTTCCACTTGAGATGTTGTTAAAAGGTATATTAGTCAATGATGGCTTACGAGCCCTCTTCTCACTTTCTTGGGCTGTTCTGAACCTTTACTGTAACTTTACTCGACTCGAATCAATCGAGTTAGCAGCAATTTTACAAACTTTCGTTGTGCTTTTCGACCGCTATCATTGGCGCTGTGTGCATTGTATGGCTGTCTACCGATTAGACAAAGTACAATTAGTACAGCACTGCGATGAAGACGCTGAACAAACGCTAAGATCTAACTAAGGGCAACCGATTCAATTCGGAATATGTAGATGTTAATACGTACTCTTTATTATGACTGAAAAATATATTAGGACTAAACGTACATGCAACGAAAAGGGCACAAGACATCTGAGAATACATAAACGAGGCAGCAAGAACTATTGAAGACCAATTTTTATGAACCCTGCTACACTAACGAGTCCGCATGAGCTCGTGACACCGGTGTCCTCGGTGAGGATGATATTTCACATAGCCAGCTTCCTTGGCGAGACGTCGTAGCAACGTAACATCTTTAATAACGCCGAGAGTAGTTGCTGACTTGGAAGCAGCGGCCTTGTTGGCCTTCTCAAAGAACCACTTTCGCCGTGAGTTGCGTGGTGGGTCTACAATTAGCGTGGTATCGTACTTCAGGAGCTCTCATGCTGCATGGAATGTTCTCATGTAGGAAGCATTTGCTCATGAGATGGCGGATGTTTTCTATCAGCCGGCTCTTCTGCTGGGTGATGTATTTGGGGTTCTTGAGGTTGTCCTCCCGATGCAGTCGACAACAAAGCCACTGGAGCAGGTTGTATCCCAGGAGCTCTATGGCACCCCTTCGAGGGTGGGCGCCAGTGCATACTACCCGACTCGCGAAGTCAATCGTGCCGTCGTGCGCCTTCGTAAAAGCTTGCTCGGACTCCTTATATTTGGCTTGGCCTGTCGGTACATGCAAAACAACATAGCCCACGAGGAATATCTCGTTTTCATTGCCTGTGCTATATACATGCAGCAGGCTCGACGGCTTCACATTGGGGTGGGTGTACTCGTAGCTGCGGAAGTACTTCAAGCCATCACTCACGCTTGTGTCGAGGCTGAAGGCAGTTTTCAAGGGGAGCGTCTTGCCCAGCTGCTGAAGGATCTTCTGCAGGCCCTCTTCAGTCGCATCTGTAGCGGAACTTGAAAAAGCTTTCTTCATGACGCAGAAGGCAGGGCAAACAGCGCGTATTCTTCTTCTTCTGCTTCTTCCCCTCACACAGCGATACAAATGTTTGTCATCATGTGTGCACTATCTTCATCATCAAACACCAGTTGGCATGAAAGGTCAGCTAACGTAGCGATTTGAAACAAGACATTTCTCATATATAAAATATGTCTCATTCATGTATTCCTTAAAGGCATTTGGTGCCCGATTTTCAGGCATGTTGACACCGATCTCCAAAACTGCAAAATCTGGACACTGATTCCAAAAATTTAACCAGCTTGCCTTCGTGTACACCAATACAGCAGCGCCGCTGGTGCCGTTTCTTATGTCAAACAAACACATTTTTTGTTTGATTTGATTGACATGTGGTGTTTAACGCCTCTAAACCACCATACGATTATGAAAGACGCCGTAGTGAAGGGCCCCGGAACTTTCAACAACCTGGTGTTCTTTAACGTTAGCTGAAATCTGAGCATGCCATCGGCCATACCATGCTGGATGCACCGGTTTTCGTCCAATCACCAAAGCTAAGCAGCATTGGTCACGGTGAGTACTTGGGAGAAATCTGAGCACACGGGCCTATAGTATTTTAACCTCCATCGAAAATTCCGCTGCCGCAGCCGAGATTCGATCCCGCGACCTGCGGGTCAGCAGCCGAGTTCCTTATTCACGAGACCACCGCAACGGGACCATTTATTTGTTTCGCACTTCTTCGTTTGGATGTGTTTCAGATATCTGTGTACCTGACCTTTCTTTAAGACTCCTTAAGAAGCCTTGAGGTTGTGGACTGACTGGGTGGGAAACATTATTAATGTGCGGCAAGGCACACTCTCACGCACAGCGGATGGCCCTTACGTCAAGGCTGCCAGACGTATAGTTCTAATGCACCTTCACCATGTCGCTCTTCCCCTATGATAATGCAATATGCTGTAGCTTTGAGGTGGTAGTATAGCCGCCACCTTTTATAACCACAAAATATCACGTGACAGTGGCACGCCATTTGTTGTTTCTTGTTCTTTTTACCTACAGTATGTCTATAGCGGGCGCACACCAGTTTGGCGGTATCGCCTACTGAATGAGTCATTTTTTGTAAATTATTATAACGTTTTAGAATAGAAAGTTTGCAGCTTACACAGATAATTATGGTGCTCAATCTAGTGTATACAACTACATAACGAATAAAAATAAGGAAAGCTTTGTGCCATTTTTTAGTTAACAGGCAATAAAAGGAAGGTATACCTTCATTTGTTAGCCTAACTATTGCCCTAATTCTCTCTCTTTATTGTAAATTGCGTGCAGTGGGATTTACCCAATCGCTGTAGCTCATGTGCTTTTTTGATTATGATAGTTTTCTGACAGGCCTCAGATATTTTGGTGGCACATACCCGCTTGTTGTGGTAGCTGCTGCCTTCATTTTGCAGCAAAAGCTGTTATGAGATCACAACAAAGATCGCGTGTGCCACAGTTTTTCGCCGCCGGTGTCCGTAATCAATATCGCACAAAGTAAGAAAAAACCAAGTAAATGAAAACTTCAAGGATATAGTGAGATGGATGCCCCTCTCTCATAGGAATCGGTATAACACGAAAATTAAACTTGTCCTTACAGAAGTATTGGAACGTGCACAGTACATTTTTGCAGAGAGCTTATACACTGCCTTTTGATCTTTTGCGCCGTTTAACGTGAACGCACTTTCGTTGATGCTTAGTGATAGATCTCTTTTACGATGACTAACGTCAATGATGAAGGATTAAACAAGCTCTCGTGGTCATAGATGCTCGTAGTAGCTGTGGAAGTTAACGCTGAGAGCGAAATTAAGAAAAGTGTTGTGACAGCCAGGAGAGCCATACCAGAATGGATGCCTAATTGGGGCATAGGTCGCCTACTCGTGGTATGCTAAAGTATTGAACGCCACGGAGTTTCACATAATTACACTATGAATAGGGAACTCTGCTGCGAGGGCCTTTGAGAGCTGCAACGCACGGGGCTTCAGCAAGCATGATAAAGATGTCTTGTACACGGATTTGTCGAATTTTTGCTTTGTCACTCCGTTTGACTCCGTGTGGGCAAAATCCAATTTGCTGCAAAACGAAGATGGGCAAAGGTTTAGCAATTACGCTTCGCCACGTTAACCTGTTCAGGCTCACCAATTTAAAACCACTCACAAAGCTCACAATGGTTTGTTTTATTATTTGAAACAAAACCAAAACGCAAGAATAAACAAAGTCACAAGTGCGCTGGAAGCCCGAAAGCATGAAGTCCAGGCAAATTCATGCTGCCAGAATGGTACTCACGGAAACATATATTGAAATGAGCTTGTGTTTGCTTGTTTGCTGATTCCGATCATCCTTTCCGAAACCAGCAAGACTTTGCCAAATGTGTTTACTAGTTTGAACATTTTTCAAATAGAGGACATGCTCACGTGCTTCCCCTGAAGCCAACAGCCTACGTCATTTACGAGCCGTGTTGTGACTACGTGGCTCAATCGAACATAGATGTACATGACCCTCAATTGTACCTAAGCAACATCTCGAATCCATTTAAACTCAGTTGCAAGCAGGGCACTCATCAAAGCATATTCAAATTTGCTCGTCATCGCTTGGTTAGAGGTGAGACGCAGCTCTTAGCGTTTTCGGAGCAATAGGCTGTTTCCTATAATTCTGCCGTGTCTCTTTGTTTGTTTGTTTGCTTGTTTTTTGTTTGCTTGCATGTTTGTCTATAGCTTAAAAACCATGTCACATACCTACTCAAAGTATTGATCAAGAAAACATAGTATCCTATCGACGGTAACTGCAGTATTGCTTTCCAAAAAATAATATACAAGACGGAAGTCATCACAAAAAAAAATGAAAATTCATAGTGTGAGAAACAAAAACAAACCTTATAATCACTATTGTTAATAATGATAATCTGAATATTAGAGCCAACCAGACAGCTGAGTTTGCCAAACCAATTAATTTGGGATGTATGACTTATATTTATTCACTTTTTAAAAATTACCTCTCGACTCCTTTTTTTAGTATTTTTTAAGGTGGGCATATTGTTGAAATACCTTTAGTAGCTTGAATGAAAAATACACTGCATCAAAAACCTCCCTGCCACAACGTCCCAAAATGAAGGCACCAAAATTTAGAATAGTTTTTATGGTTAAGCTTAAACCTAGCTTCGCAAACAGAATAGCTTGTAGTGTCCTTTCCTTTTTAATGCGCAGTTACTACATGATACAAAACAATGTCAAATATTTTCCGATTTTTCGCAAAACGAATTGAAGGAAGATAGCATCCGACCAGCTCTGAGTAAATAAATCCTTAATGGGGGGACACGGCACTGAAATCTGGAGATATCTCATTTTTTTCTTGACCAACTCCTCTAAGGTTTTCATGGAAATTTGAGGTGCTGATAATCTTTTCATTTTGTAATATTTTCTAACCTATCTGTAGAAATAGCATAACTTTTATATCTAATCCCTGCTAAGTATTATAACTCTGTAAGTACCTAAATTATTGGTCCATCAAATGATGCTTGCGTTAAAGGAGGAGGAGGAGGAGGAGGAAGGGGGAAAAATGAAAGGCAGGGAGGTTAATCAGATGGACGTCCGGTTTGCTACCCTGCACTGGGGGAAGGGGTGAGGGGATTAAAGCAGAAGAGAGAGAGAAGTGAAGGGCAACGTGTGTGTAGTTGTGACCTTGTCCATTACACGCTTGTAAGCGGTCGCGTAGTCTGGTCGTCTTTAGAAAACTTAGCAATGCCCGCGTCGCTTTGCTGGCCAGCGACGCGTAGAGCCATGAGCCAAGGATCTTCTCTTCGGAAAAAGGTCTACTGTCTAGTGTCTCTAACGTTTCGCGTAGCAAGTTGCGTTCGCTCACAAAACGTTCACATGAACACAGTAGATGTTCTATTGTCTCGTCAGTGTCGCACGATTCACATCGCTCGCGTTAAAGAATCTATCAGTTCTTTTAATTGTAACCCTTAGGGATCTGGGACCCCAACTAATTTTTAAAAAAATTAACTGTGGTGGTACTAATGTGCGGAACGCAACTAGGGCTCGAGATTTTTATAAGGCTGTAAGAGATGCACACACCGACAGTGAATCTAATATGATGATCGCACTGGTTTCGTATGAAGTAAGTTTTCGAAGTGCTAAAATATTAGGTATTAGCTCGGCTTCAAATATAGGAAAGAAATCTGGAAGCCTCATTGAGAAAGACCTTTCGAGGTAGTCATGGGCAATTTCTACGCCTGCCTTTTCATTGTTCACAGTAGCATCTGTGACTATTACAATATTTGTTTCTGCATGTACCATGTAATGTTTTACTCGATTATTCAAAAATATGAGAGATTGCAACTTGTATTTTGTTGGAAACAGTTCATCATACTCTATCTTAATGTTTTAGGTTGAAGAATAAGTTTGAATTACCGTTTTGATGTCTACACTTATGCTATCCAGTTTCTTTTTATAATACATCTGAGGTGTATGAAATCATGGCTAACGATCAAGAAAGAACGAGTCAGGGTCACTTTTAAATGCATGCTCTGATCTTCGAGCCAGTAAACTGTAAAATTTAAAAATATTTCAACCGTTAGGATGCAGAATCGACAAAGGAGTCTTGGCAAGCGCGCCTCCTGATACAGACATTATTCGCTACGGACCTGGAGAGTCCCAAGTATATTCGCAGTGCTTCTCACTTTAACATTACTAGAGGTTTCATTTTATAACCAGCGCTGCCCGAGAAAAATTCGCACCTAAATTCCAATATTGTGCGCTTGTACATTTTATATAATATTAACATCGTATCTCTGCGCAAGCCGCGTTTTCGATTGCTTAGCCTGCGCAAAAACCTGATGCCTGTTGTGCTGTTGCTGCTATATATTCACTGTGTGAAGTCCAGCTAACTTTGTTATTATAAATCATGCCTAAGTACGAGACTAAATCCACCTGTCGAATAGGTTCATGATTATGTATTAAAAAATTAAAATTGAAAATGCTAGGGGAAAC